GGGACCGGTGGTGGAGCTCGCCGGGCTGAACGGGACTCATTTGCTTAGATAAACGCAGCATGGAGTAGGGGTGGGACGGTTCACAAAATCCACGGTTCGGTTCGATTCACGGTTTCGTGGTCACGGTTTTCGGTTCGGTTCGGTATACAGTATGTTGATTGTTAGGAAAATCTATTATGTCTTGTATAGTCAGGTTAAAACTGAAAGAAAAAAAGCAGTCTTACATTTGATACATTTTTGTGACAGTCTGAGGTTAAAGTAGGTGAGATTCTGGCATTAGAGAGGAAACAGTGCTAATTCCAACATGTGCTTCCCTCTAAATGCAGTGTGGTCCATACAGCAGAATAGAAACTGCTGCTGGCGGTCTGATTTTTATCGGCTACGCTGCTTCTTCTTCTTCTTGTTTCCTACTGGTGGTTGGCTTTGGGCGCTATAGCGCCCCCTTCTGCTCTGGAGTGTAAACGCTTCCCTCTGAGAAAAAGGAGCAGCAGGAACCGAACGCAACACACGCGAACCGAACCGAGACAGTCCAACCCAACGGTTCAGACAGTTTTCAGAAACCGTCCCATCCCTAGTATGGAGGCTTCAGAGAGCTAGAAAGACCAAACGGGGAATGTGGAGCCAGGAATGTTTAAGCCCTCGGGTGTGTTCTCTCGTCTGAGTCTGCCGTTTTTCATCTAGTGTCCCAATCACCGTCTATGTAAAAATTTGTGCAATTTATGGCACCCTGAAAGGACTGTATGAGGCTGGTTTGTGGAAATTTAGCAAACTGCACAGATTGTCCGGCCAGAACAAATGGATAATCCCAATGATGACGCAGAGACACTCTTGTTAGGGAACACTTCAAACTGTGAAGCGTAAACCGTGTTTTAGTTCTCAGACACGGACGGCTTTACACAGAATGTGGACATTGGAGTCTGAAATGTCCGTGATAAAAGAAAGATGAAGTTGACTCCTGCCCAAATTCTGAACAGTCTAATAACGCTGATGTTTTCCTCTTAAATGTGCCCTCAAAGCCCTGATATCTAGGTGCGTCAAAAGACGTCTTTTCGCCTGGAAACTCCCAGAAAAGACCACAAAAAACCCCAAAAAAGAAGGCGGATGCTAGCAGGTGCTGTCAACCGGACGTGTGAAATCCTCAGGGCCATAAACCCATTAACATTAAAGCTCATAAAGGAGCCACACCTGGAACCAATATAATAAAAATAACAAAGCTTAAAAGGGTATCGGTCAGTCCTGGGGGAGATCTGATGGACGGACAGACTCCCTGCCTGGAGGTAATAACATCTGGCTGTAGACTGCAGGAAGGCAAGGATGGATATCCAACTCCCCCATATCCATGTCGGCCATTTTGATTAGGTCACCAATAGGAAGATCCCAGGCAAGAAAATGGTAATTGCTTCATGGCAATATAGACATTAATTTAAAAATGGTGAAATGAATCTTGCAAACACCGAATTCAACTCTATCCATAATATTATGTTAAAATAGTGGATGTTAAATAGGTTTGTACAATAAGTCCAAACAAGTTTAACCAAAAAAATACTTATTTATCACAATTATGAAGGGTCAGGGTTAGGGTTAAGGTTAGGACATTGTTTGTCTTCCGATTTCGTATAGACAGTAAAGTTTCATTTCCAACCTCGTAAAGCTGCTAGTCACATGACCTAATCAAAATGGCCGCCTTGGATGTGGGAGGAGATGGATATCCAGCCGAGGCTCCTACAGGCTCCCTGTAGGTGCTGCCTCTGTCCACATCTGGACTCTAAATTGTTTCTAAATAAATATTGTGTGGAGGAGATCCAGACGACTAACTCTGGATTTCTGTTTCCTCATTGTTCCGGTTGGCAGGAATCTGAGCATCCGGGCTAAAAACAATAAGTCATTGTCATGTTCTGGATCTCAGTGGGCCCAGACGAGTCCGACTTTCGGCCCCGAGTGGGAAAAATCTCCCCCGGAAACTCCAGACTGTTCACCAGGAAAATAAGGATTAATTTTCATTTTCTCCCAAAC